ATGTCAAAACTCAAATGATTTAAACAGATTTCATGATGAGTTTTACCATTTGTATTATAATGAATAATGAGTTGCATCCGTGATATGACAATCGCTTTAACCGTCACTCAAATAGGTTTATATTTTAATAATCTTTATTACCATTTGTATGACAAGTATTACACGCTTTCAAGAATTTAAGTTCTTTGACAATACAGCAAACTATGATTGTGTGATGGGTTGGGAGGACAGGCATGCATTGGTGCTGCAGATTGTTTGACAACTTATAAGAGTATAATTCAAGTCAAGTATTCGTTTCCAAAAATTTCTTTCACAATCGGCTCAGGATTTCATTAGTCGAGTCTGTTTTGAATGACTAAACAAATAGAGATTTAACTCATTTTAATGCTTTTTTCTACACCTCTCGCATCAAATCCAGTGATTAGGATATGTTTGAGACAAACACAAGAATTACTTAATTTTCACATCAATTGAAAACAACACTACATATGAACTTCAATTCCTATACTAATGTCACATAATTCATATGAATTCCTCTCAAGAATATTCTGAATATTCTGTATATAAAGTGTCATCCGATGTACTCTTTGCAGATAACATCATTTTATACTGATTTTCGTTGACTATGATTATTGAATATATGAACATATGAAGTATATGTTAAAACATTTGCAAATATGTTTAGAAAGCAATTAAAAGTAATGATAATTAAAATAAAACTCATTATAAATGACACGAAGTGAAAGTAATGGCAAAAGCGGTGCGAAAAGGGTTTGGGAAACGTATGGCACTCGTGCTGCCATCTGTGGCACGATTGCCATTGAATTGCCTTTGGATTCAACAGAGAAATGATTGAATGTTTGAAAATCAATGTTTCACTCAATTTATGAATTAATTAATCTTGTGATCATTGGTTTGCCATTCAATTAGATCCACGCATTGAGTCCATACATCACGAGAATCCATGGCTGAAGACTTCGAGCTCTTGTTCTTCGACACCTTCTCGCAAACGGATGGACCCGATGTACGACTTCTTTGTTATCAATCTTATGATACCTGTTATGACCACCAATTGAGTTGCGCTCTAATCATGTGTTGTGTTTGTCTTCAGGGACCAAATCTGGGTTTAGTTCAGTTCCCGAATCCCATTATCATTAAAGAGATTCGTGTCATACCATTGGGCGCCAGAGTTGAGGCCGACTTTCCCGGAGGTCTTCGGTTG